ATCACATAGCTGAAGTACTGTAGTTAGTATTTTGAGGTCATAATGTTATTTCCTATATTTCTGTGTGAATCTACTCCTTTTATGATTCCATAATGTCCTCTTTACTTAGGAATTATTTTTTTACAGAGAAATTTTGCCATAGGGAGCATGTGCTCGCCAGAGAGACACATAGAGACAGAGAGACAGAAAGCAAGAAATCACCCCGCAAGGCGGATGCCCATGCCACAATCCTTTTTCTTCCATTCTTTTCTCAGTACACATGCACATGTGCCCAGTATGGGTTTTAAGCTGCCAGGTCTGGGACTCAACCCGTGACTGACTACATGCCAGTCCAACAATGTAACCATTATGCCATTTGCTGTTCTCAACTGCTGAGAAGTTCTTATCCTTCTTCTTTGTTCTCATAATCATGTATTAAAATTTTATTTCAAGTTCTTTTATACATTCAGTCATGTTATTTAACTTGCAAAGTGAATATTCCAACATATGTACATTCTTTACCAGTCCAGTTGATAATACTATAAAGTTATATTCAACAGATAATTTCCCACTTTTTTGTCCCATTAAGGCTTTACTTCTTTATTTTTCTCCTTAATGTCCTTCCTTAGACTCTACTCCTTCACCCACCCTCTTCCCACACTATATCTGGTATTCACAACCATTTATTGTGTTTCTATATCCTTTAGTCATTCAGTTTCAGTCATAGAGTGTGGACACTGGGTATATATTAAGTGGAGACATACAATGTCTCTCCTTCATAGCCTATCTTGCTTCACTCAGTGGTAAATCTTCTATATTCATCCACTTCCTGTCAAAAGTCAGGGTCTTGTTTTTTATAGCCGAATAGTATTCCATGGAGAGATATGTGTCATAGTTTTTCAATCCATTCATCTGTTCGTGGGCATTTGGGTTGGTTCCATGCCTTAGCAATTGTGAATAATGTCACAATAAACATCAATGTGCAAGCACTTTTCTAATTAAGAATTCTTCTGTTCTTTGGGTAGATCAAAGGAGTAGAATTGCTGGATCATATGGTAGTTCTTTTATTTTTAAATTTGGTAAAATGTTTTTATTTCATTTTTTATTTTTTAATTCTACTGTTAAAAAGAGTTTTTTGGATTTTATTATTATTATTTTTAAAATTTCATTTTCTTTTTATACATTCAATCATGTTATTTAGCTTACAAAGTGAACATTTCTCCCTAGTCCAGTTGATAATACTATATCTTCAACAGATAATACCACATTTTGTTGTCCCATTAATGCTTTGCCTCTCTCTTTTTTTTCTACATGTACTTCCTCAGGTCCTGCTCTTCCACACACTCTATATCTGGTATTTTCTAAATGTCCTTCCTCAGACTCTACTCTTTCATACACTATATCTGTTATTCACACCTATTTGTAGATTTTTTGAGGAAATTCCAAATGTTCTACACAGTGGCTGGACCAATTTACATTCCCACCAGCAGTATAAGAGGGTTCCCATTTAAAAAAAGAAATCAAAGAAATAAAAACCACTCAAATCCCAGAAAATATAAATAAAAAATTTGCATGATTTGAAATAAAGTAAAAAGCTAACAGACCCACAAACCTATTCAATCTCACCAGCAAGAAAGTAGTAGTAAGTAAAAAACTCTTTAAAATTCCCATTTTGATTTTGAATAATTTTTTTATGTGAATGCTGAATGTGAAAGAAGAAACTGAAATGTGTCTCATGAACTACAGTTGCAAGGTATTAATTGAAAGCAACTTATTTATCTGTATCCTTCAAAAAATGGAGAAATATGCACATATACCCTCATTTCAAAAATTTCTCAACAGACCATAAAGTCATTGCACATCTCATCACAAATTTGATTCTACTTTTCCTCCTTTGTGAACTGCAAATTTCTCTGGACATGTTCTCACTTGACTGAAATAATTTTATTTCTCTCATTCCTTATTTACCCTCATCTAATTGCATGTCTATTCCCATAACTAAATTGTCCACAATAATGCCTGCATTGCTAAGTCTGACAGACACATGACTTTTAAAAATATTAAATAAATTAAAGGTAAATAACTTGGTCAGCCAAGTTACCAAATGCATCAATCTCTTGCCTATTGCTAAGCTTATTTGGCTCTCAGGTGATCTCAGGTAGATGTTCTTGGCATCCATTGTCTCTGAACTGCTCATGTGATACCTACTGAACTCTCAGGCTCACCTGTATGGGCTTTCAGAGAGGACAGTCTTCTAGTGGAAGGGTGAATTTCTCCCTGGATGGTTGATGATGGAGACTAAAGTTCTATCCCAGGCAAGACATAATTAAAAATTAAGCATGGTCCCCTACCCAGACTTGAGATTCCAAAACATCAATTCTGTCTTGTCCAGCACAAGGTTATGCTCCTTGTGGAACAATGACAGATTAAATATTTACAGGTCCCTATCTCTGCTCATTAGATACATTTCCTCCTTTAACTACAACCTCATTGTAGTTTTACCTCATGGACACTATCCTGATTTTTGAGACCTCCATCACCTGCTAAGCTGCCTGTCTTAGGTGAGGAGGCCAGCACATAGGTTGAGTGGTCTGATCTGAGGGCTCTGAGAGCTCAGGCCAGTGAAAAAAGCATTGATATCAGTGGTAATGATGACCTCAGCAGGAGGGGAATATGAAAGGTAGCTGAATTGAGCTAAGAGGTATGACACCACACAATATTAAATGGTTGAAGAGATTGAACCAGGTCATCTTTCCAGTTAGCTACAAAGAAACATTCTACAAGGATGTGCTTTAGGTTGGAGAATTAGCAAAACGTGCCTATTTTGGTGATATTGCTGTAGGTGCAGTATGCCATAGGGTGGCTCATTCACAGAATCAGAAGAAACTTTACATCGTGATAGTATGATGTCTGGCACCTTACTGAAGGCTAGGAATTAGGACTAAAATGTTAAATCATCTCTTAAACATCTGTGAAAAAGATGGCACTTTTGATAGCATCTATCCGCACATCCAGATCAGCAATGAATCAGCAATTGACTTCTACAGGAAGTCTGTTTTTGAGATATTGAGACAAGAAAGAACTACTATAAGAGAATAGAGTCAGCAGATGCTCACATGCTACACAAAAACCTCAGTGTCCCTTCTGGTCAGAATGCAGTTGCACAAAAGACAGACAACTGAACAAATTACAAAATAAATCTCTTGCACTTACCTGTCATCAAATGATAGAGAGGTCAGTTGATTCCTCTTTCCCTTAAGCTTTTCTCCTCTTAGTCTTTTTTTTTCCCTCTTTTTATTTCCTGTAATAGTTTTAATATTTTCAAGGACTTTTTAAAGTAATTATATTTGGATTGTTTTAATTCTCTTTTATTTGGGAGGTGGTTTGATTAAAGGAAGGAAGTTTTGATTGAAGGAAAGAGAAGATAGATCTGTTTAGTTCCACAGTTAAGATACATGGGTCTCAAAAATTCAAGTGTCAAATAATTTCATTGTTTTAAAAAATGCTCTGCATTTACATTGAAGAGCAGAGTCAACAAAATATTGTGTACTTCAAAATAAAAAAAGAAGCAATAGCAGTCATTTTGTTCTCTAATTTGTAGAAAGGTTTAGTGTGCTTGTGGTACTTTGGGTTTTTAGACTATTTGTAGAATTCTAATCCTAGACAATGCCTTCGTTCCACCTTTAGCCCCTAGAGCACTATTTCAGGAGTTGGACCATTTGTTAAACTTGTAAGAAATACACTTTTTAAAGCAACTATTTTTCTCTTCTTGCTGGTGGGTGTGGTATTTGAGGTAGGTAGTGTTGTACTTTAAGTATTTGAGTTAAATGACTTTTTTTTCCCCCTAATGAGTGCACTTGTTAGCAGGTGTATTTTTCTTGCTGTTAATTATTACTAGTGGCATTAATATTTAGAGTGTGGGCTGGTGAGATGAATTTTTTTAATATCCCAGCTAGAGATGCAGCCTTTAACTGGCCTAAAGAGGTTTGTTGTGATTTCTGTTCCTTATATTTTTTTTTTCAGTTAAACCCAACAATAGTCTAACCTTATAAATGGAGTTGATGTCCTTACCGGTCATTGCCCTTAAATAAACTTGAAACAGGTGTTTTCTCTTGGACATATTAAAAAATTTATAAAAGAAAGTCATATGGACTTGTGACACAATAAATGAATTTAATGTTGACTAATGCAGGTTTTTAAAAATGTGGCTACTGAGCATTTGATTATATAGGAAGGAATATCTAGACAGTACTTCTTTTTTTTGGAGAGGTTTTTGCTATAGGAAACATGCACTCTCCAGAAAGACCTAGAGATACAGAGAGACAGAAGGTGAGAAATTGACCCCAGGGAGGATGGCCATGCCACAATCCCTTCTCCTCCATTCTCTTCTCAGGATCTTGGACATACACAATCATGTGCCCAGCGTGAGTTTAAGCCCCTAGGTCTGGGACTTGAACCATGGTCAACTACATGGGACTTCAGTGACGTAGCCATTATGCCAACTGCTGGTCCCTGTAGACAGTATTTTTGAGACTAACATAGATATGCTATTGCTTATCTGTTGGAGAGCAAACCAGATTTGTTTATATTAAGTGTGATACTGAGTTTAAGGATTTGGGATAAGGAGACTTGTTAGACATATTGTTTCTATTCTTGAATAATAGAAGTATAGTTTATGTTGGATAAATTCTCTTTACAAGCCAAATGATGTATAGAGATTGAATATTTAAAAAATGAGAATAAATGAAAACAAGTCTTTTTATGAAGCATTTACATTTTATTACATAATATTTGAATTTAGAGATGGTTTGAAATATACAAGAGGATTTTCATTAGGTCATATGCAAATACTACAGCATTTTGTATATGGTAATGAAACATCTTTTGACTTTAGTATCTGCAGGAGGTCCTGAAACTAGTATTTCAAATATACAGAGAGACAGCAATTTTGTCATTTCTTGATCTGAAGCTTTAAGTCCTACATCATGGGCTCTTCTACAATACTAGAAAAGTTGACCTGTTTATAGCTTTCTTCCAAACAGTCTTCTCAGAGCTCTCTTTGTATCTTTATTTCTCAGACTGTAGATGAATGGGTTCAGCATGGGTGTGACCACAGTGTACATCACTAAGGCTGTTGCATTTGAGTGTGAGCTGTGGGTTGAAGCAGAACTAAGGTACACACTAAGGCCTGTACAATAAAATAAGGAGACAACTAAGAGGTGAGAAGCACAGTTGGAAAATGCTTTGTATTTCCCCTCAGCTGATGAGATTCTACATATGGAGGAAACTATCTTACAGTAAGAGTAAAGGATCCCAGTGAGAGGAACACCACCCAGCAGCACGAGGACAAAGTACATTACCAGATAATTAAGAAAGGTGTCAGAACAGGAAAGTTGGACCACCTGATTAAGTTCACAGAAAAAGTGTGGGATTTCCACATGTGTATAGAAGGACAGCTTCAATGTCATTAAACTTTGCAGCAGAGAATATAGTACACTCATTGTCCAGGATGCCAGAACAAGATGCCCACAAAGCCAGGGATTCATGATGATTGTGTAGTGCAGGGGGTGACAGATGGCCACATGCCGGTCATAGGCCATTACGGTCAGGAGAAAGTTGTCCACCATAACAAAGAGGTTAAAAAAATTCATCTGGGTGATGCAGCCTGCATAGGTGATGACCTTGCTCTGTATTTGGATGTTCACCAGCATCTTTGGGATCGTGGTGGAGGTGAAACAGATGTCAGCAAAGGACAAGTTGGAGAGGAAGAAGTACATGGGGCTGTGCAGGTGGGAGTCTGAGATGGTGGCCAAGATGATGAGCAGGTTTCCAATCACAGTGATCAGGTACATGGAGAAAAAAAGTCCAAATATGAGGGACTGCAATTCTGGTTCCTCTGAAAATCCCAGAAGAAGAAATTCTGAAATTTCTGTATTGTTCTTTAGCTCCATGCAGTGGAGTTGGCCACCATAATATGGATAATGGCTTGACTAATTTGGACCAAATAGGCCTTAATGATTCTGAAATGTTACAATTTATACCTTGCAGTCAAGAAATAAACACATAAAAAATGTTGTGTTTTATGCATAGGCCTTCTCTCTTTTAGAGGAATTTAGTGCCATTTCTGATAAATAATTTTAGTCTTATTTTAGCCTTTTTTTCCCCCAATAGATCTGGTATTCTGAAATTTCAGTGGGAAATTCTCTTAGGCATTTGAATACTATATATTTAGTGCCATGCTTATTGCAGACATTGTCGACAATTAGTATACAGTACTGAAAAGCAAACAAACAAAAAATTTATCATAAGATGGTGGTAAAAAGATATAAATAAACAATGATACAACTACTGAATGAATTGAAAACCTGCAGTATATACACACTATAGGATACTACTCAGTTTATAAAGAACAATGAACCCACTCCATACAGAGACCAGTTCAAGGGAATGGTCTTGCCAGACACCAGGCTGCTGTGGATGCAGAGCCTAACAGCCAGAACCCATGGATCGTTCCCTTCCCCACTTGCTTTTAGACTTCAGGTTTGTGTCTTGGGACTTTAAGATGAACTTGAGCCCCTATCCACCCCATCCGAAGACCAGTAAAGTGAAGGGCTTTGCTAGAAACCAGGCTGCCTGTGGCTGCAAAGCCTAATGGCTGGGACCTGTGGCTCATCCCCTCACCCACTTTCCTTTGGACTCTCTGCCCTTTGGTGTTTTGGATAGTGTGGGCTGTGTAATGTGGGCTGCATATCTTTCCTTTGTTCCCGAGGTGAAGCTCAGCATCTCAGTTTGAGATACACCTGTTCTTTAGAAACAGAGAGGTCTTTGGGTCACCCAGGACCAGGGGTAACTGCAGGGCACTGGTGAACAACAGGGAGGTAGAGCAGAAGAGAGATCACCAATTTTCTACTTCTGTACACCTTTAAATGCTCAGAGATACCTTGAATAATTTAGGAAGGAATGCATAGATCGTCAGATGACTAGGAATAATTGCAGAGGCACAAAAAATATGAGCAACCAACAAAATGTCTCTCCCCAAAGGGAAAACATCAATTCCACATCACCTACAGACAACACAGTGAAAGTCCTGGAAATATCAGATACGCAATTCGGAATCTTTGTAGTGACTAAACTAAATGAGATGCAAGAGGAAAGAGACAATGAGCTCCAGGAGATGAGGAAGTCTTTTCATGATTTGAAAGAAGAAATAGACACCATAAAAAAAATCAAATGAAACTGTTAGGGATGAAGAATGTGGTAAGTGAAATGAAAACCTCCTTCAAAAGTATTAAAAGTAGATTAGATCATGCAGAAGATTGTATCTTGAACATAGAAGACAAAACATCTGACCTAGAAAAAAGTATCACAAAGATTAAAAAAACAAGAAAGTGAGGATAATATATGAGAAATACTAGATGCCTTTAAGCACCCCAACACCAGATAATTAGTATGTCAGAAGAGGAAGAAAATAATAAGGGCAATGATAATTTATTTCATGAACTCCTGGAAGAAAACTTTCCAAACCTAGAGAGTCACTTGAATATCATGACCCAAGAAATACGTAGGGCCCCAAATAGAATTAACCCAAGATGATCTTCTCCAAGGCATATAATAGCCAAATTGGTCAAAATCACATAGAAAGAGAAGATACTAATACTGGCAAGAGGAAAACTTCAAGTTACTTACGAAGGTCATCCATTCAGGCTAACATTGATCCTCTTGTTGGAAAAAATGCAGGCATGGAAAAAATGGGGAAATAAAATCAAAGTGTTAAATAAAAAACAATTTTGACCAAGAATACAATACCTGGCAAGATTATCTTTCATATGAGAAAAAAAGATAAAATAATTCTTAGATAAACAAAACCTGAAATAATTTATCAACTTCAGACCAGCTCTTCAAGAGGTTCTGAAGGGAGTGTTAACACAAGGAATACTAAAAAGTCAGATGGACAGTGATAAGAGAACAGAAAACAACCAAGAAAATGGCTCACTTACTGATAGAACCAGGTCCAGAAATATCAATAATAACATTGAATGTTAGTGGATTAAATTCTCCAATTAAGAGATACAGCCTGGCTGAATGGATTAAAAAAACACAAAACTACCTGTTGCCTACAAGCAACACACCTTATGGATAAAGACACACATAGACTAAAAGTGAAGGACTGGAAAAAGATATTCCATGCAAATGGAAGTTAAAAAAGAGCTGGAGTTGCGATATTCATTTCAGACAAAATAGCCTTCAAGACAAAGACTGTAAGAAGAGACAAAGAAGGGCAATATATATTAGTAAATGGGTTAATTCAACAAGAAGACATAGTGCTTATATATGCACCCAACTCAGGAACACCTAAATATGTAAAGGCAAAACTGCTAGAGCCAAAAGGAGAGATAAGGAGAAGCACTATAATTGTTGGGGATCTTAACACCCCATTATCTCCTTTAGACAGATCTTCCAGGCAAAAAAGTAAATAGAAGGATGTGGGACCTAAATGATACTATAAATCAAATGGGCTTGATTGATATCTATGTAACTTACCACCCTAAGTCTACTAAATATACATTTTTCTCATGCCAGCATGGAACCTTTTCAAAGATTGACCATACGTTAGGACACAAATCAAGTCTTTACAGATTCAAAGGCATAGAAACTATATCCAGCATCTTCTCTGATCATGATGGAATTAAGCTTGACATTAATTTCAAGATACACGGTTGAAGACACACAAACATATGAAAACTAAAAAACCTACTTTTGAATGTCTTTCTAACTTTTGAAGTAATTATGACTGAAATAAAAAAAAAGAACTGATGGAAACAAATGATAGTGAATATATGGGTTTCTATAACCTATGGAACACAGCAAAAGTAGTCATAAGAGGTAAATTTATAGAACTCACTGTGCATAAGAAAAAGATGTATAAGTGGCAATAGACAATCTAATGTCATGTCTCAGGGAACTGGAAAACAACAACAAAACAAAACTGAAAACTAAAAGATTCCAGGAGAAAAGAATTCACAAAGATTTGAACAGAAATAAAAGAAATAGAAAATAAGTAAACTATACAGAAAATAAATGAAAGCAAAAGCTTGTTCTTGGAAAAGATGAACAAGATTGACATACTATTAGCTACACTTAAAAGAAGAAGAAAGAAAGAAAAAAGATAAACGAAACAGGCAACATTACAACAGACACAATAGAAATACAAAACAGTATTAGAGGATACTATGAGCAACTATATGCCAACAAACAAGAGAACAAGGAGGAGATGGACAAATTCCTAGATGCATATAATCTACCAAGATTGAATCAGTAGACATAGAAAGCCTGAATAGAACCACGACAAGCCATGAGATTTGATCAGTAATAAATAACCTCCTGACAAAGAAAAGCTCATTTTCAGATCGCTTTACTTCTGAATTATACAAAACTTCTAAGGAAGAGTTAACTCCTATCCTACTCAAATTATTTCTATAGTTTCCAAAAGAAGGAAACCTTCAAAATTCATTTTATGAAGCCCCTATCATCTTCATTTCCCAAACAGATAAGGACATGACAAAAAAGAAAAACAACAGACCAATATCTCTGATGAATATAGATGCAAAAGTTCTCAACAAGGTACTGCAAATCATATAGAAAAATATACAATAAACATTCATCATGACCAGGTAGGGTATATCCCAGGAATGCAAGGATGGTTCAACATATGCAAGGCAATATATATAAAACACCACATTAACAGAAAGAAAGATAAAAACTGTATGAAATTTCAATAGATGCAAAGAAAGATTTGATAAAATACAATATCGTTTCATGTTTAATACTCTGAGTAATATTGGTATAAAAGGTTATTTCTCAATGCAATAAAAGCCATGTATGGTCCAGCCACTGTGTAGAAAAATGTGGACATTTTTCAAAAGTCTTCAAATACAACTATCATATAATCTAGCAATCCCACTCCTTAGTATCTACCCAAAAGACAGAAACATTCTTAGTTGGAAAGTGTTTGCACATTGATGTGTATTGTGGTATTATTCATAATTGTTAAGAAATGAAATCAACCCAAATGCCCATTAACAGACGATTGGATTGAAATTAGGTGGCACATATACTCTATGGAATACTACTCCACCATAAAATAACAAGACCTTGGCTTTTGACAGAAAGTGGATGAATATGGAATATTTACTGCTGAGTGAAGCAAGCCAGGCGATGAAGGAGAGACACTGCATATATCCACTTAATATATACCGAGTGTCCACACTCCATAACTGAAACTGAATGACTAGAGAATATAGAAATGTAGAAAATGGTTATAAATACCAGATACAGTGTGAGAAGAGGGTGGGTGAAGGAGGAGCGTGAGAGGAAGGTAATTAAGGAGAAAAATAGAGAGGGAAGGCATTTATGGGACAAAAAAATGGGTTATTTTCTGTTCAAGATAACTTTATAGTATTCTCAACTGGGCTGGTAAGAAATTTATACATGTTGGAATATTCACTTTGCAAGCTAAGCGACATATATAATTGAATGTATAAAAGAAATAGAAAAAATAAAAAATAATAATTTGCACAGGAAAAAAATAACCATAAATGAAACACCTATAGCTAACATTATACTGAATGGGGAAAAGCTAAAAGCTTTTCCACTAACAACTGTTACTAGAAAAGGCTGCCCACTTCCTCCATTACTATCAGATTAAGAAGTTTCTGCACAGCAAAGAACATACTAATTAGTATGAATCAACAACCCTCAGAATGGGAGAATATTTTTGTCAAATACACCTCTGACAAGGGACTGATAACCAGAATTCACAAGAAAGTTAAGCTTAACATCATAAGGGAGATGCATATTAAAACCACAATGATATACCAACTTATCCCTGTCAGAATGACAAAGATTAAAAATACAAAAAATGTTGAGTGTTGGTGAGGATGTGGTGAAAGGG